CTTCTCCGCGGCCACCAACTCCGTGGGGACATGCAGCCACGCCCTCTCTAATCTGGGCAAGGATCCCGCTACATACGGATCATCCCTGTGCCGTCCGCTGTCCTCAGAGCACCGGGGCCGGCTGGGCTGTGTCCCTCCCGCACTCTACCTGGCCTGCCTGACCGCTCTGCGGGGCACGGGGCTGCCCCAGGCAGTTCCCTGCCCACAGGCAAGTGGCCCCTGGGAGAGGGTCTCCAGGAGGACAGGACTGCAGGAGCAGAAGCCATGCCGGTTGTTTGGGGGGAGGCAGGAGAGGCCTTGACGTTCAAAGGAGGAAGGCAGGAGGCTCTACTTCCCAAAGGAAGCGAGGCGGACCAGTCGGGAAGCCGCAAAGGGTTCTGACCTGGCAGACCTGGCCTCCGGGCCTGCTCTCTGGCACCTCAGTTTTCCCATCTGAACAATGGGAGCTGGTCTGTTTCCATCTATAAAAGATCTTAAGCCCTGCAACCTCCCCGGTCCAGGGTCCCTCCCAGATCCAGGTGTCCAGCGCGGGTTCGTCCCCGGCACTGGGTCCAAGCAGGCACTTGGGTCAAACTCCCCCAACCTGTTTATAGGGCCAGTCCGCCTCCGGGGCCCCTAAGGCCACCCAGCCGAGCCAGGGGGGCGGGGCAGACGCAGCCAAATTCATCCCCGGCTTACATCCAGGCCAATCAGCGTCGAGTTCTGCCTGGGAGCGGGAGGTCGCCGCCGCGGCTCCGCAGGCATGCGCAGCCTCCCGCCAGGCCTCCGCCCGCCTCGCGTGCGCGCCGCCCGGGGTGAGGGGGTCGGGGTGGGACACGAACCTTGGTTCCATCCTTAAAGTCAGGCAGCTCCCCTCGGCCCTCCTGGATCACACGCTTTTGGATCCCGTCCTCCCGGAGTCTGGCGATGACATCCGCCATCCTCCTCACCCGCTGCTCTCTTTCGGCAACTTCCGGACTCGCTCGGCAGCTTCCGGACCTGCTTCGGCAACCGCCGGAGCTTCGGCAACTTCCGAGGCGCCGCCATGTTGGCTGAGGGCAGACGCCAGAGAGGGGCGGGACGCGGAAACGGAAGGTGATTGGTTCTCTGCTGAGCAGGGGCGGGGCCTGAGGCTGGCCGGAGGGCGGGGCGTGAACGGAAGTCTGTCCGAGAGGCGGGGCCTGGCCTGCGGGGCCGGGTCTGCGGGGCGGGGCGGGGCGGGGCGGCTCCTGCAAACAGGTCCTTGAATTGATTAGGCCGCGGCCCGCCCACTTGGCCTTGGGCCGCTCCGTTTAAAGCTGTACTAACAGCCGGAGCCGGTTTGGCTCAGTGGATAGAGCGTCGGCCTGCGGACTGAAGGGTCCCAGGTTCGATTCCGGTCAAGGGCATGTACCTTGGTTGCGGCCACATCCCCAGTAGGGGGTGTGCAAGAGGCAGCTGGTGGATGATTCTCTCTCATGGATGTTTCTAACTCTCTATCCCTCTCCCTTCCTCTCTGTAAAAAATCAATAATATATATATATATTATATAGCTGTACGAACAGTGTAACAGCATTTCAGACACAGGAGAGGCGGAGAGGGGCAGGGTGGGAGGAGCCCACTGTAAGGCCAATCCCCAAAACTGTGTTTGTGTATTCCCTTCTGGCTTTTTCTTCTTGCAAGTCTAGCACTATAGTCGCAACTTTTAAATCCTGAATTTTTTTCCTCCTTCAAAAATAAAAAGCAGCCCTAACTGGTTTGGCTCAGTGGATAGAGCGTCGGCCTGTGGACTGAAAGGTCCCAGGTTCGATTCCTGTCAAGGGCATGTACCTTGGTTGGGGGCACATCCCCAGTAGAGGCAGCTGATCGATGTTTCTAGCTCTCTATCTCTCTCCTCTCCTCTGTGTAAAAAAATAAATAAAATATATTTTTAAATAAATAAAGAGCAAAACCATCTCTTGGGAAGATACTGAGAAAGTGCCACGAAGGGCTGGGGTGAGGGGTCTCGTCACCACTGAACCCACAGCGTCTGGATGCCCGGTGGGTATGAGGTAATAGTGAAGTGACAGGCGGCAGGCCCCTTGGGGCTAACACAACGATTCCCTCCCTCCCCGCAAACTAGCTGCGGGCCACAGCTGTGAGTCTGCTACTCCCACCCTGGGGTTGCCCGCGTGAGAAACGTTCAAACCCTCAGAGAGGTTTTATTAGTTTATTTGAGCCAAACTGAGACAATGGCCAGGAAGCCAAATCTCAACGGATGGAGAAGGTGCTCCGGAAAGTGGCAGTTTTACCACTTGTTTTAGACATCAAAGCCGAGGGGAAGATGAGCGAGGCAGGGAGGCGGGAGAAAGCAAAGCAGGGAAACCCCTGGGTTTGAATAAATCGTACGTGTCTTTTACATGGCTGGACACAGGACAGGGTGCAGTCCTCAATAACAAGGAGAGGGCTTGTGGGCTAGTTAGAAAGTTCTCCTTTCAGACCACCCCGTCTGGTTACTTTCAGTTTCTGAGATGGTAAGGCCGCCCGGTAGGCCTCCCTGAGCTTGTCGGGTTGAGTCTGTGCCCCTTTCTCGTCCACAAGGCTTAGGTCATCACCTCAGAGAAACGTCGTGGGCCCTGTGCACTGCTACATCGCGTCATCATAACTGTGCGGGGTTGTTGTCAGTCCCCTGCGACCCAGGTGCTGAGGGCTTCCGATATTAATGCTGGCTCATCCCAGCCTCACCCACTGACTTGTCCCCGAGACCCCCTGTTCTTTGACCTCTTAGTGAGCAGAGCAGCCCAGCCTAGGCCCTGCTCCCCACCTAGTCTCTCTCCTGAAGCTTCTTCTGTCTCAGATCCTTCCTTGTTTCACTGTCCCCAGCTTTAGTCCCCAGCTTTAAAAATCACATAGACTCCTGAAGTCAGAACCCACTCACTACCGGCCTGCCTAGGCAGACAGCTCAAGCCAGGCCCCCTTTCTGGTGACAAAGTGAAATACTGCCCGCGCCACCCGGCCGTGTGACTCGGCTGAGTGGTGTCCCATGCACTGAAAGGTCCCTGATCCTCAGTCAGGACTCACAACCGATCAATGTTTCTCTCTCATCAATGTTGCTCCCTCTCTCTCCCTATCCCATCCTCTCAAAAGAAAAAAATTTTTTTAAAATATATTTTAAAAATAGCCAAAACCGGTTTGGCTCAATGGATAGAGTGTCGGCTTGGGGACTGAAGGGTCCCGGGTTCGATTCCGGTCAAGGGCATGTGCCTTGGTTGCGGGCATATCCCCAGTGGGGGATGTGCAAGAGGCAGCTGATCGATGACTCTCTCTCATCGGTGTTTCTAACTCTGTATCTCTCTCCCTTCCTCTCTGTACAAAATCAATAAAATATATTTAAAATATATATATGAGGTGCCTAGAGCGGTCACATTCATGGAGAGGAAGCTGAGTGGTGGTTGGCTATGGGGGAGGGGGAAATGAAGAGTTGTTTAAAGCGTAGAGAGTTTCAGTTTTGCAAGATGAGGAGGTGCTGGAGATGGGTTGTACAACAAAGTGTCCTTAACACTGCTGATCTGTGCACTTAAAAAAGTGGCTGTGCAAATTCATACACCCCCTCAGCAGAGCATCCATGGACTCCATGGCCTAGAAGTCCCACTTCCAAGCAGAAGTCTCCGACGGTCCATCGGGGGACAATGTGGAGATGTCCATCGCAGTGACGTATGTGATGTGACGAGGCCGTAGGCCACGCTCAGTGTGCACCAGCTGGCGAGGATGGCGGATAAGAAAAGCGCCAGGTGCTCAGCCTGCAGCCAGAAGCAACAAACGAGACGCAGGTGGAGAACATCGGCGTTGAGTGTAAAAATGCACAGATGTAAACAACAGGATGAGTTTCGCACGTGACACTATGCTTGTAAACTGGGAGCACACCCACATAGGAAGCCAGGCAGGATTCAAGGACACGGGCTGAGCACTCGGATGGAAGGGAACAGGGAGGAGGGATGATGGGGACAGGAAGAAGGAAATGGTTCATAGTGATGATGTGTCACAAACTGAGAGGCGCGCTTGACACAGCTGTGTCAACACAGTAGAGAGGGTGGCTGGGTGGAAGAGAACAGGAGCACCCCCAGCTCAAATACCACTTCTTCCACCTGCCAGCGTTTGGGATGCTAACAAAGCACACATTCATTTCTCCCACAAATGCTTGTTGAGCATGCACTTGGTGCCAAACACTGTTCTGGGCACCGCAGACCCAGCGGTGATAAAACTATCAGGGTAATGCAAGGCCAGTGCCATAGGGTGTGAAACCAAAAGGGTCAGTGCTTTGCAGGCACAGGAACAGCCGGCGCGGACACCCTGGGGTGGAGTAAGCTTGGCCTGAATGGCTGAGGCGGGTGAGGAAGGGCAGAGGGGGTTTGGTGAGACTGGGGGAGGCAGGCCAAGACCAGAGCATTCAGAGCCTCGTGGGCCTTGGCCAGGAGCTCAGATACTGGGTTTTATGCAGAGGAGTGACTTAGCAGCACACTGGCTTTTGCACTTTTCAAAGTTTTATTAACACACCGAGAGAAGAATCGGGCATGTTTTTAAAGAACACTTTGGCTGCTGAGTGGAGAGGGGAAGCCACATAAACTCTCAGCCTGTTTGCACAGAGGCCAGGCTGTGAGGCAGAGCACCTCGCCCGTGCAGGGCCCTGGTGAGCACGGGTGGGGACCGGCGGGCGTCCTGACTCTCCCTGGCACGGAAGGCGCGGCTGGAATGCGAAGGCCGCGTCTGGGGCCGGTAGACTGGCGCCTGGAAGGCAGCCCCTCCGAGCCCGCGGCACAGACACCCGCCGTTGCTCTCGAAGACGGCCGCTGGGCGGCGCTAGGGCCCAGCGCGGTCCGAGCCTGAGGCTACCCTGCCCGCTCGGCAGCTCGGCGCTCGGCAGCTCGGGCCTGTAAGGGGCGGGGCATAGCGCGAGGGCGGGGCTTGGGCTCCCTAGACGCCGGCGCGGGGCGGGGCCAGGCGCGGGGGCGGGGCGGGAGCCGGCGGCGGCGCGGCGGCGGGGCGCGGGGCGCTGACCGGGGGCCATGAGCGCCGCCCGGCCCCAGTTCAGCATCGACGACGCCTTCGAGCTGTCCCTGGAGGACGCGGGTCCCGGGCCCGAGCCCAGCGGGGTCGCCCGCTTCGGGCCGCTGCACTTCGAACGCCGGGCGCGGTTCGAGGCGGCCGACGAGGACAAGCAGTCCCGGCTGCGCTACCAGGTGACCGGCCCGGCCCTCCGCACCCCGCCGGCTCCGGCGGGACCCCAGGCCGCACCCGGAGGACGGGACCCGGAGGCTCTGCCCGGACTAGAGCCCTGGCCGGAGGGGGAGGCCGGACCCACCCCTTCCCCGACGTGGCCGCCGATGGAGAGCCCAGCCCGGAGCCCGGCCGGCGCTCCCTCCCGCCCAGCGCAGGCCGCGCCCACCGGGCACCGGCTCCCTCCTCCCTCCCCAGGTGTTCGGACAGGGAGCGGGGCGCCTGCGGAGCCTGGGCCAGACCTTGTCCACGCCCATGAGCAGCCCCCTGAGGCCCAGGCCCGTGGTCTAACAGGAACCTGCACCCCCTCTCCTGCTCTAGAAGTCTCCATCCAGCCTTTCCCCGGGAGCTGGGATCCCTTCCCAGGAGTCCTGCCCACACCCTGACCCCCACCGACCCGGGAATCCCGTTTCCCCGGTGCCCTCCACCAACTCTGCATCCTTTTCGTGGAGACTCGGACCAGATTCTTGTGCCCCAAACCTGGAGACCACGGGCCTGCCCTCCCCTGCACCCCACATCCAGAGCCTCTGTATGGGCCTCTGAAGTACCATCCCCACAGTCCCCCAAACCCGGCGGTCCCGGCCCTGGGCCCTGTGCCGGGAGCCCCCCACCAGCCCCTGCTCCGGCCCCCCAGCCTCGGCTCCCGTGCTGCCTGGTTTCGGTCTGATGATTCACAAACCCGTCCTGCTAAGCGGGGAGCAGGGAGGGGCCGGCCAGCAGCTGTGCGGCTGGCTCTCCTCCCCGCCGCCCCGGGGGGACTGGCAGGGCCCGCAGTGACCTGAGCCCTGTGTCTGGAACAGAACCTGGAGAACGATGAGGGAGGTGCCCCGGTGTCTCCGGAGCCAGACGGGGGAGTGCACACCAGGTCAGGGCCCGGTGGGGACCCGCCCAGACCCCTGCTGCTGGGCCTCTGGCTCCCGTGCAGCCCACCACCCTCACTCAGCTCCACACCCTCTCCCACCAGGACCCCCATCCTCCTGGGTTTCCCTGTCCTGCAGGGTCGCCCTACCCTCCTGCCAGCCTCACCCCCCATCCCCCTCAGCCTCTTCATCCTGTGGCCCCTGCCTTCTCACAGTCACATGTCCTGCAGGAATCCCTAGCTTGAACCCCAACCTTCCACCCCAGTCTGCGGAAACCCCGCCCATGAATTCCTTTCACCCCATCCCTGCCAGGGCCCCCTTATCCTACAGCAACACCCAGTCCCTCTCCCTCTCCCTCCCCTGCCACGTTATCATGGCTCCTGTCCCAAAGGGGCCCTGCCTGGCCTGCCCTGCCCCTCACCGGGCCCCCCCTTTTGCAGGGATGCTGGCGGCCGAGCATCCTCCGTCCGCAGCTCCCAGTGGTCCTTCAGCACCATCAGCAACGGCACCCAACGCTCCTACAACGCCTGCTGCAGGTGAGCCACCATGGCAGGGGGTGCAGACAGCCCTCCGATCCATCCGGGAGGGTGGCAGAGTGGGTGGCCCCGTCACCTCCTTCACCCCCGCCTGCTCTCCTGCTCCCAGCTGGACGCAGCACCCTCTGATCCAGAAGAACCGCAGAGTAGTGCTGGCCTCCTTCCTGCTGCTGCTGCTGGGGCTGGGTGAGTGTCCCGGCGCCCGGAGGCCCGCCTCCTCTGAGGCTCTGAATCCTGTGGCACATGGAGCCTCCCGGCACCCTCCCCCGTTCCATAGAGAGGAAACCGAGGCCCTGAGAGGCAGGCCCCGCCTCCTGACCGCACGGCCAGGAAAGCACAGGAAGTTGAAAGTGGAACCTTGTTCTGGGTTCCAAACTGTATTCTTTAACGGAGCCCGTTTCACTCATTTTCTCTGTGTCTGCTTCGCGCCCGGTGCCGGGCAGGTTTCTCTCGCTCACTCACCGGGGTCACACCGCAAGAAAGAGGCGGGGCCACTGCCCAGGGAGATGCCCATCCTCGTGGGCCAGGGATGCTGAGCGCCGTGCCAGCCTGGTCCACAGGGCACCTGTCCCTCCCAGCGCTCTGGAGCCGGGAGCGGACACGGATCTCTCTGCCACCCATTGCTCAGTCAGGAGAACTGAGGCCCAGAGCAGCAGCTCTCACAGCCAGATGTGTCCTGACTCCACACTCTTCACTCGATGGGGCTGAGGAGTCAGGGTCCCCGGAAAGGTTCTAGTTGGGATCGAGAGGGGCCCCTCAGGAGGCCCCGCCGTGGCAGGTGCCCGCCTCCCGCCTCAGTGCTGGGTGTCTGCCAGGGGAGCAGCGCACACAGCTGGTCACACCGGCCGCCTGCTCACCTCACTGCATCCTCCCAGCACCCACAGGGCGAGCACGGTGATCAGTCCAAACAGGAGGACATAGGCTCGGGCAGGCGAAGGGGCTCTCAGGTCACAGCTAAGGCGCAGATGAGCTGGGATTTAACCCACATTAATGGCGTCGCCAGGCTTGACCTCCCCAGAAAGGGCCTCTCTAGGAATTAGAAAAAGCTGCCTCCTCTGAGTGGGCAGAGCCCACAGCCTGAAGCCAGGGCTCGGGGAGTGAGTTCCAGCCCCCGCTGAGGCCTTTCTGAGGGGCTCTCGTACAGGCACAAACCACAGAACAGCTCAGAGAGGCCCCTCCAGTCTCTGTGCTGTGCTGTCCCCCGACCCCACTGCGCAGAGCCCAGCTCCTCACCCCTCCCCATCCCATCCTGTGCCCGGGCGCCCGAACTCGCTGTGGGTCTGGGAAGTTGGTCCAGCCTGACCTCTCCACCTTCCTCGCGTCCACTGTCCTCGGCCAGAGTCCACGGTTTTCCCCGGGCCCACAGGCCTCGCCAGACCCCTCCGGCCTGGCTCTGTCTGTCTCTGCACTCGCACCCGGAGCCAGCGGCTCCCGGACAGCCCAGCTCCCTCCGCCTGGAGCACTCCTTTCCCGCTCCGCCCACGGTCAGAACGCACTGCCTGCCAGGTGCAGCCTGGAGTTCCTTTCCCCTCTGCCTCAGCTTCGTCTTCTGAGAAACGGGGTAATAAATGCCTCACGCGGTGCAGGTGGCAAAGTGTGCATGCGACATGCTGAGCCAGTGTCTGGCAGCAGCTGGTAGTGTCTGCTCAGTGTAAACCGCTATGGCTCCTGCTGCCCTGCTCAGCTCGGCCACTGCCTCCAGGAGCTGCTCCTGGGCCCCAGGCTGCAGGCTGTCCGGTCGGACCAGCTACATCCTGACCACCCGCAGGAGCTTGGAGGTTCTTGCTGTTGCTCTGCTAGGGAAGGGCCACGCGGGCAGAGACCTCAGCTGCCTCTCCCCGCAGCCCCAGGGGTCCCCGATACCAAGGGCTCCCTGACCGCACCGGGAGCAGATAGAAGTCTCCCCTTACAGACATGGCCGGGGCCCGCCGGGGCCCTCGCCCCGAGCTGCCCGGGAACCTGCGGCTCAGGTGGGGGAGCCCCAGTCCTCGGGCCTAAGCCGTGCGGGGGCTGCGGGGGGCGGCCCCTGCCCCTGCCCCTGCCCGTCCCCCCCTCACTCTTGGGCCCGTCTGTGTGCAGCGCTGATCCTGGTCGGCGTGGGACTGGAGGTGGCCCCCTCGCCAGGTGAGCCCCCGCCTCCAGGCCGCGCTCGCTCCTCCGCCGCCCGGCGATCCTGGGCGAGCCCTCTGCCCTCCCATCGCCGCCTCCCTCCCGGCCAGCCCTGACCTGCCCCTCCTCTCCTCCCGAAGGCGTCTCCAGCGCCATCTTCTTCGTCCCCGGCTTCCTGCTGCTGGTCCCGGGAGGTGAGCCCGCGGGCGGGCCCGGGGCGGGGCCTGGGTGACGGGGGGCGGGGCCTGGGTGATGGGCGGGGCTCGGGCCGGGGTGAGGGGCGGGGCCCGAGGGCGGGGCCTGGGTGACGGACGGGGCCCGAGGGCAGGGCCCGGGCGAGGGGCGGGGCCTGAGGGGAGCTCAGCGCTGATTGGCCCCGCCCCGCAGTGTACCACGTGATCTTCATCTGCTGCGCCGTGCGCGGCCGCCGCGGCTTCCGGTTCTTCCACCTGCCCTACTTCGAGAAGTGAGCCGCGGCCCGGCGGCCTCCCGCCCCCAGGGGGCGCGCCGCGGCCTCTCCAGCCCGGTTTGCTCAGGAAGCCGGGCCCTTCCGCCCGGGCCATGGCCGGCGCCTGGCGCGCTGGGCCGCCCTGTGCCTTTCTGACCCTCCGGCCCGGAGCCGCCGAGCGGGGGCTGCGCTAATAAAGGTCTTACCTCCGGGAGAGCGCGCTCTTTCCTTCCGCCCGGCCGCCCCGCCGCCCCGCCCGAGCCCGCCCTGGAGCCCAGGGCGCGGGACCCCCGGCTCCGCCCAGCGCCCAGCGCAGCCTGACCTCCGGGCCGCCGGCTGTGCGCCGTGGGCAGAGCTGGGCCTCGGGTTCCCCCCCGGAAGCCCGGAGCCTCTGCCAGCCCCCCACTGCCCAGCCCTCCGCACTGCCCCCTGCCCCTGTCCCCCCGGTGGGGGCGGCATTGGGTCCCGGCCGGCCCAGGGCCCTCCGCTGACGCAGGCCTGGGGCCTGGAGGCCGCCATCCCGGTTCCAGTCCGGCCTGGGGCTCTGCGCTGCACCGCCGGCCCCGAATGTGGGCCACGGCCCAGCCCCCACCCCGGCCGCTGCCCTGCTTCCCAGGCCCGGGGCTGGGGAAACGGGAGGCTGGACGGGGGGTGCCTCAGGCATCAAAGACTCAGAACCTTGGGAACAGACCGTCTCAGGGTTTTGTAAAACCCAAACATCTCAGAATCTTAAGACCAAGGAAACAGAATCTTTGCGAACCCTGGAATCTGAGGTCATAATAGCTACCATTTATCAGACTCAGAAGGCACCCGGCCCGCGCTGAGCACTTCGCACAGGTGGTTTCCGGTCCTCACTTCCTCAGCTCCGTGTTACAGACGGAAAGACCCAGAGGCGGGCCCGCCCCAGGGCAGTCAGGGTCATAGCCAGGGTTCCTGACACCGGGCAGGGAGGGCACTGTGAGCTGAGACGACCCTGCCCTGTGATGCCATGGTTACGGCCTGTGTCGCAGGAACACGTGGGTGCCATCCAGGCCTGGGCTTGGTCTAGCCTCCACTATGGAGGCAGCAGGTTTCTGTGACTTAAAAACACACACAAAAAACCCCAAAACCTCCAGTCGCCCGCTCTGGCTCCCGTTCTCCTGGCCCACCCACACTCCCAACCTGCGGCCAGGACGCTTCTGGAGCACCGAGGGATGCGGAGCCCTGAGCCCCCGGCTCCCAACTAGCTGAAATGAAAAGCGATTTTCATTTCTGATTTTGTCACGAATCAATCCTTGAAGATAAAATAAAGACTAGAAAAGTGAAATAAAAAACACACAAAACAAATACAGAATCAAGCCAAAAGTTTGTATTACCAAATCAATCGGACATAAAATTACATTTCAAGAAATAACGTCAGAACAAACATGGAACAAAAGAAAAATCACGAAAAGCGTTCATTGAAAGTAAGCAACCCTGTGCTCCTAACGTTTTGCTATTCCACAATCTTAGCAGAGATTGGTGATTTTTCCAAATCACAAGACTCGGGAGCCAGCAAGCTGGAGTCCACGGGCCCAGCAGAGTCTCCAGGCTAAAAAGGGTTCCCACATTTTTATAACAGTTGGGAAAAGTCAAAGAATAGTCATATTAGATTTTGGTCTCATAAAAAGTTATAAAATTCAAACTTCAGTATCAATAAATCAAATTTAATTGATTCTTTATTGAAGTTCCAGTACGGCCTCACCCACTTGTGTATGTGTAGACTCTGGCTGCTTAGCAACACAGACCACAACAGCAGAGCAAGCAGCTACAGCAGAAAATGTGGCCCTCAGCCTCAAATCCGGACAACCCAGCCCTTTACAGAACACATATGCCACCCCTGGAGCGATAGGAACCCTTTGACAGACACCAAGTCAAACATTTAAAGTTTTCATGTAGCCCTGGCTGGTGCTGCCCAGTGGTTAGAGCATCCACCTGAGAACCAAAGGGTCACGTGTTCAATTCCCGGCCAAGGGCACGTACCTGGGTTGCAGGTTCGATCCCTGGCTGATGCCAGCGTGCATGGGGGAGGCAGTCAGTTGATGTGTCTCACTTACATTGATGTCTCTCTGTCTCCCCTTTCCTCCCTCCCTTCCACTCTCTCTGAAAAGCGACGGAAAAAGTATCCTCAGGTGAGGATTAACGACAACGACAACAAAATGTAAGCCTGCCCTCCTGCCTTCCATGTTGTTCTGCCTATTGTGTCAGTCCCTATTGTTTTTAAAATCCCCCCAAAATGAAAATTTTACAGTAAATGCTTCTTTAAATCCACCAATATGTTTCCTGGTTTCTTTCCTGATTGTTATTTTTCCCCTTTAAATTTCTTTATTGATTAAGGTGTTACATATGTGCCCTTACCCCCCAATACCCCCCCACACCCATGCCCTCACCCCCGGGTGTCTGTGTCCACTGGTTAGGCCCATATGCATGCACACAAGTCTTTTGGCTGATCTCTCCCCGCCCCCACCCTCCTCTGCCTTCCCTGAGGTCTGCCGGTCTGATCGGTGCTTCTGTCTTGGTTCTGTCTGTCCATCAGCGTGTGCTGCTCATTACTGACTGTTGGTACCTCTTCCGCCTCCACCGGGACTGACTTTCCAGCTCACGGAAGCCGTCCCTTCGCTGTGAGTGCGTGGCTGGGAGCCCTTTCGCTTTCCTTTTGTATTCTGCAGTTGCATCGAGGCGCAGCTAGATATAACTTTTTTTTCTTTTTTTTAGAAGATAAAAGATCTGTGTTTATTTCCAGGGAGATACACATTTAATTTTATTTATTTTTCTCTGAGCCAATGTGCTCCTTCAGGCTGGGCACTGTCTTTGTGGAAAAACGTCATCTCTCTGAATATTGCTTCATGCCCTCCTCTATGTTCTCTCCTTCTGAGACTCCTCAGGGACTTGTCATTTCCCTTTAATTTTTCTCCATCTGCTTATCCTTCAGCGCTACCTGAGGGGCGATTTCTCAGGGAGTGGCTTCCAGTTCACTAATCCTCTCTCATCTGTTTCCAATCTGCTGTTTAACTTAATATCTTTTCATTCCAATGGCTGTATCCTTTATTTTTCAGAGTTCTATTGTTGGCTTTGGAGTCTCCCTGTTCAGTTTTAACACTATCCTGTTGCTGCACATTGGTCTCTCTTCCTTCTTTTATCTCCATGCTAGAGGCTCGGTGCAGGAAATCCATGCTGCCTGTGGTCCCTAGGCCTGGCCGGGGATTGAAGCACGAGCGACTGGCATGAAGGGTGGGTCCCAGCTGACCTCTGGGCCTGGACGGCACCGGGTTCAGCTTCAGAAGTGACGTGTGTGTGTGTGTGTGTGTGTGTGTGTGTGTGTGTGTGTGTGAGTCCTATGTGCCTGGGTTGAAAGTGTGCTCTTTTCAGCACTTTCTCTCCTATTTCTTCAGCTTTTCATGCCCTGGGGACAGACCACACTCCTGCTTGACGCACAGGCCTGGTTCTGGGCTCTCTAGGGTGACTGGCCCCCCTCCAGGCCCTGGACATCTGTACCCCTGCCAATTCCTCCCCCCAAACTGCCCCGCTCTTTTTAATCCTCACCCAGAGATATGCGAATTGATTTTAGAGAGGGAGAAAAGGGATAGAGAGAGAGAAACATGGACGTGAGAGGGAACCCCAATTGGTCCCCTTCCACAGTGCCCTGACCGAGAATGGAACCCACAACTAGGTGTGTGTCCCGACTGGGAATTGAACTCGCAACCTTTCCGTATGAGGGGCAAAGCTCTAAGCACTGAGCAACACCTGCCAGGGCAAAACTGCCCCATTTCTTTCTTTTTAAAATATATTTTATTGATTTTGTACAGAGAGGAAGGGAGAGAGAGTTACAAACATCGATGAGAGTCATCAATCAGCTGCCTCTTGCACACCCCCTACTGGAGATGT